AAAAAAAAAAAAAAAAAATGATTTGACTGTATTGACTCCAGGCTATATTGAGAGCCTGGTGGCCCAGAAAGCACCAGTGGGAGGTGAGGTGCACTGTAATACGTTGATGTCTGTGCAAATGGATGGTGGTAAAGAACAATGTGAAATCATGATCTTATTCTACTGGGGTGTGGTGACTAATTGATCCAACACAGAAACTCACTTAGCCTCTTTAAATCCTGCCCTCACTACGACTTTTCAGAGATAGTGAAGTGATATAACAATTGAATTCTTTGGTTTTCTTAATATAAATTTTTATCTGAATGGATGAATTGTCTGTAGCCCTGAATTGATTAGTGTGTTCTTCTGAGGCCTATTCTAAAGATAATGAGATTTCAATAAAAAGCACACACTCTATTGGATAGCAGAGTTGGGCCATTTGTCTTATCTGAATTTTGGAGCTGCCCAGACTTCCTGTTGCATTTGGTGATTAAAACAAAAAACAAAAACAGGCTGAAGGCACAGCTCAGTGGTAGAGTGTTTGCCTAGTATGCACAAGGGCCTGGGTTTAATCCCTAGCACCACAGACACACAGTCCTAACCTGTATGCTGTATGTTTGGATATGTGTCTGTATAGTATGAAGATGGGTTTTCTTTATTTTTTTGCATGAAATCACAATGCCATTAAAAGATTACAGGTGAACTGATTTTCATCCTGAAGGATGCTTTATAGAAAGGGATGCCTGCTTAGCTGACCCCTTGTTCCAGAACTCTTCCACATGCGTCTATGGGTATATGGATTGGGAAGCCATTGCTGATGCAGTTGTTATTTCCGTTTCCTTTTATCACTGTAGCTTGAAATGTGAGTTGTTGAGCAAATACAGTGAGTGGTACCTCAGTTCATGAACTCAGTTTGTTCTACAGTTTTGGAAAAGATGGTCACATTTGTGGGTGTGTGTGGGGAAGATGGACACGGTTGTATTTGTCATGCGATGCAGCTTGCAAACAAAACAAAATTTTGCCAAATGCTTCTGTTTCTGAACCAATTTGTTTGCAAACAAAAAATTCATGAACCAAGGTGCCACTCTAATTGGAAAGTTGTGTCATTTAGGTCATGTTAGAACTAGCAAAAATATCTGAAATCTGCTGCTGTTATTAGTAATCACAGGGAACTGCTTTACTGAGTTCCACACCAGATTTTATACCATCACAACTACATTTTAGATGTACTTTAATTGCCTTTGTTTCAGCTAATAGTGTTAGATACTTCCTGAGAGACAACATGAAACAAAACAGGTGGCTAAGGATAATAATTTGAATTTAACTCTCACTTTTTGCTTCCTTCATGTCTTAGTTACTTTTTTGTTGCTGAGACAAAATACCCAACACCAAAAATTAAAGAAGGAAAGGTTCATTTAGCTCAGTTTTTTTAGAGGTTTTAGTCCATTATTGGCCAGCTCCAAGGCAGGGTGGTGTGGCAGAAAAGGCTTGCAGAGGAAAAGCAGTTCAAGGCAACCCAAATGCAGCAGAAGCAATAAGGGACTTTAACAGTGCCTTTCTGCCCCTTTTATCCAAATTACTTAGGGCTTGTAGCACTCACACCCTTAATCCTGTGCCCTTGAGCCTAGCATTGCACCATGAATTGGTTCCAGCATCACACACTCTAGATCCAGCCACCTCTGAAAAGGCCCCACCAAAGACTATATAAATAAGACTTTGAGGGGAACATCTAAACATAGGACATGACATTTCATAAAAATGAACAAGAAAGGAGTGGTTAATCACTGAGAATAAACTTCACATCAGTTGATTTACCAACTGATTTACCAGCTGATTTAGAACACATTTTTGCTCTCTAGGTTGTTTCCAGCTTTTGATGGGGTAACAGTCTCAAGTTTAGATGAAGAATATCCCAGCCCTAGTTGTTAGATGAATTGGAGAGCAAAACAACACTGTTATCTTCTTGTCATCTTTTTCTTGCTCCAGTGCTGTGCTGTCTGTAGGCATATAGCAGAACAAGCTTATGCATGTTTTTAAATGGCCCTGTGGAATGGAAAGCAACCTCTCAGCATGTAAATGAAACTGGATTGTATGTTCTTTACACCCTGGCAAAAATCTTCGATTTGGAATTTTCTAGCTTGAGAATTGTGCAAAGTATGGTCAGCCCATACTGGAAGCAGCAGTTCTTTAGGTCTGTGGCATAATATGCTTGTTAGTATGCCTGACCATTCTAGACGTAGTAGTGTTGCTATAATACCAGGTTTCATTAGTTTTCTGATCATATTCTACTGATAGCCAAGTGTTTTTCCTTTACTTAATTTATACAGTTATTATCCATATTTTAGAGGCATTTTAATTTTGGAAAATAATTAGTGAAGGACTGAGACACATGTCTAAGTGTTGTATTTAAATACTGAGCAGCAGCTATGACCCACCCAGGATTGATGGGTATTTGGATTTGGAGAAGTTATCACTCTTTACTGTTCCTGTACCCTCTTTGGCATTTTTAGGAGTTTTTGTCTTACAAGATATTTTAAAACTTGCCTGGGGATTTAGCTCAGTGGCGCCACACCTGATTCTCAAGCACAAGGTCTGGAGTTCATTTCCCAGTACTGAAAAAGAAAATTAAGGCCAAGGATTTGTCTCAGTGGTGCCGACACCTGACTTGGAAGTGCAAGGTCCTGAGTTATATCCCCAGTACCAAAAAAATTAATAATAATTTTTTAAAATGTTAAGATATGATAAAACTTGTATTTGGAGAAGATAACTGGGAGAAGATTATTTGGTAAACCAAATAATGATGCTTTTGGATATTCAGAAGTCCTTTATGGATTTTGAAAGGAAAAAATGAAAGTTAAGGAAATATATCTGAATATTCTGCTTCTGTTGTTGTTTTTCTCATTGTTTGAGTAATTACTATGCATGTATAGCCAGCCAGATAGCATTTAGATGGCTTTGCGTGCCAATTGAAATGGGTTTGAAGGCCAAAGATTTAGCTCAGTGGCATTGCACCTGCCTTGCAAAGCCCAGGGTCCAGAGTTTGATTCCTGATACTGGGGTGAAAAAAAACCCAACAGATTTTGTGTTAAAAATTTTAGAGTACTCAGTTCTTATTAGTTCCTTCCCCAGACAACTCAAGATTAGCAAAGTTAAAAGGGTAAGTAACATGTTAGAGACTTACAAAATATTTACAGTAGAAAGACAGAATTCTCAATTGAATTTTGCTTTGTATTTGGACTTGCAGGAGTAGTGGAGGCCCTTTAGTGAAGAAATGGAACAATGTGTGTAATGATGGAATCTCCTCTCTAACCACCACCACCTGTTCTTGATAAGCGAGCAAGAGGTTGGATCAAGGGAGAAGGAAAAGAAGTCAACATGAAGCTAAAGCAGCGAGTTGTGCTGTTAGCAATACTCCTTGTCATCTTTATTTTCACCAAAGTTTTCCTGATTGACAACTTAGATACATCAGCTGCCAACCGGGAGGACCAGAGGGCTTTTCACCGAATGATGACAGGCTTGCGAGTAGAGCTGGCACCCAAGCTGGACCACACCTTGCAGTCTCCTTGGGAGATTGCAGCCCAGTGGGTGGTGCCCCGGGAAGTGTATCCCGAAGAAACCCCAGAGCTGGGGGCAGTCATGCATGCCATGGCCACCAAGAAAATCATTAAAGCTGATGTGGGTTATAAAGGGACGCAGCTGAAAGCCTTACTGATACTCGAAGGAGGACAGAAAGTTGTCTTCAAACCTAAGCGGTAAGTCTTCATCGCAGAAGCTGTAATTGCTAGTTGGCTGGTTAATTTACTTTGGAGTTATTTAAGATTGTTCACCTCCTTTTCTTGGTGTTCTTTTCAGTAAAATGAAAGGTAGACTGGAAGATCTACCAATTTTCCTAGTTCTGAAAGTATTACAATTCTTTGAGGGGAAAAAATTTTTAGAACATATTTTGCTTCCTTAGAACACTGAATTTTTTGACAATTAGACCTATTCTTGATTTCTGATTTATCAGTTATCTATTATATGTCAAATATAATTACAAAATTAATTGGTTAGGAAATAAGCACCATGTCACCAAAAAAATGTACAGCTAAAGACTGGATAACTGGATAATTTCAGGGATGCTATAGAGATGGACTAGATTTTGGATTGGTGCCTAAAGTCCCTTTCAGTGCTGAAACACAGATTCTTGATTCTCTCACCTATTTTTATTTGATAAGTTTTAGATTTGCAGAAAAATTGAGAGAATTCAGAGAATTCCTATTAATTGCCTTTCCTCAAAATTTCTCCTGTCAACATCTTCCATTAGTGAAATTCATTTGGTATGATTGATGAGCCAATAATGGTACCTTAATTATTAACTAAAGTTTAATATGTGTTAGGATTCACTCTGTGTTGTCCATATTATGGATTTTGACAAGTGTATAGAGACAAATGCCCATCATTTTAATACCAGTTAGAATAGTGTTCTTTTTTTTTTTTCCTCTCATTGAGTTTATTGGTACATTTAGGTATACAGTACAGTTACATTTGTCAGTGGGATCTTATACCTTTACACGACAGGTCTTGTTTCTCATTTTTTCCCCCTTATCACTGCCCTCCCTTCACCCCCCTCCTCCCTTCCTATTTACAAATACTTTATTTCCATTTTTTCATTTTCTTAGAATAGTATTCTTGCTTTCAAAATCTTTTGTGCTCCACTGTCATTCTTCCTACTGCTGAACCCCTAGCAACCATTGTCTTTATACTTTTGCTTTTTCCAATGTCATATAGTTGGAATTATAGCATACAGTGTATAACCTTTCACATTGGCATCTAGCACTTAGCAATATGCAGTAAGGTTCCTACATACCTTTTTATAGCTTGGTAGCTCATTTATTTTTATGGCTGAATAATATTCCATTGTATGGATACATCACAATTTATCTACTCACCTGTTGAAGGACATCTTGTTTGCTCCTAAGTTTTGGCAATTTTGAATAAAAACTACTATAAATATCCATATGCAAGTTTTTGTGTGAACATAATTTTTCACCTTATTTGGATAAATATCAAGAAACATGATTGATGCAACATATGGTAAAGGTATGTTTAGTTTTGTTAGAAACTGTCTCCAAAGTGGTTTGGATTCTGCCTGCAAGAAATGAGTTTGTTAGGCCATATCACCACCGGGATTTGGTATTGTCAGTATTTTGGATTATAGTCATTTTAAGGGATTCTCATTGTTTCTTGTCCTGTTTTAAGCGAAGAAGTAGGCCATGTTAGTTGCCACAATAGCTGTTGTGTATATTGTAGTAACTCTTTTGGACTTCTCTGGAGACCTACAGAAATCATTTATGTGGCAATACCATAGTATAGTTAATTTTCTAAAAAATTTTTCTATGGCTAAGATTTAGCATAATGATGATTCCTATTCTTTTGCCAGGAGCTAGTTACTAATGAAAGGTCTCAAAGTTTGTGCACTCAACATGTTTTCATTTCTTGGTAAACTTGAGAGAATTATACCTTTAAATTTCTTGCTAGTGTGAGGGGAGAAATATAGGGAAAAAATGTATAAAATTCAACTCCCTTTTTTGCCTGTCAGTAGATAAAAGGCAACTAGCACACGAATCTGTTTGGAATTCTAGCAATGAAAACCATTGTTTGTTTGCCTGGAACTAAGAAGTATGATATATGGAAGATACGGAAATAGGTAATCTTAAAATGCAGTAAAGTTTTGGAGAATAGAAAAATCTGATTGGCTTTTGGTAATGTGGAAAAAGTATGGTGATGTGAGCCTTGGGACCTAATTTTTGTTGAATGCATACCATTTACTGGGCATTACATCAAGTACTTTAGCATATGTTAATGTTTTTAACTTTTAGGCTCACTTCAGTTCTTATTTCCAGAATGAGAAACTGAGGTGTAGAGAGAGTAACTACCTTCCCAAGGTCACATCACAATAATGGGTGGACCTGGGTTTTGAACCCAGATCTGTCAGAATTGTAAGCATCTTATATTCTGGCATATACATGGAATTATCTTAAGTTTCTTTGTTTGCTTTCCTGTAAGTGAGATGGTGTGGAACACCCATCATTAAAAATTACTAATCTAGGGCTAGGGATTTTGCTTAGTGGTTCTACCGCCTGCCTCACAAGCACAAGGACGTGAGTTCGATCCCTGGTACCAAGAAAAAAAAAAAAAAAATTTACTGATTTAGTTTTGAAATTAGAAATATGAGAAAAGTAATAGAAGACAAAACAAAAATAAAAATTAAATTTATATAGAAAGAGATGAGTTATAAGTGTTTTGTTTAAACAAAAAGAATTCCTCTCCACACCCACTACTTGATACTGGAGAATTAAGGGTGAAATGGGAAGTGTTAGAAGACAGAGATTGCTAATAGGGTGCAGTGTAGACCAGGTGCGTTGCAGGCAGGCCTGAAATGTTTGGGGGAGGGAGGTATTAGGGGAGGGGGAGGAGAATCCAGATTGACGAGTAGAAAGGAGGCAGCAGAGAAATGAACCAGCCCTGGTCCTTACTTGACTTATCTCTTACTACCCTGAAGCCATTCCATTACTTTCCTTTCCTTCTTTTCTTTTCTTCTGTGTGTGTGTGTGTTTGTTTTTTGGTACTGGGGATTGAACTCAAGACCTTGCACAAGCAGATAGCTGCACCACTGAGCTAAACCCCACCACTACCCCAGGCCTTTTGTTTATTTGAGATAGGGTCTTGCGACATAGTTCAGCTGGCCTTGAACTCATTATGTAGCTGAGGCTGGCTTCACATTCACAGTGATCCTCCTGCCTCAGCCTCTGGACTATTGGGATTACAGGCATGTGCCATCATGCCTGGTTTATTACCTTCCTTTTTTATATCATGTTTTAGCATTGGAAATCCAACTGTTACTGGTTGAACTGCTTTGTTTTCACTTGTATTATCAAACAAGTGCCCATCAAACAAGACCCAGTCTCTACAGCCTAATGATCAAGAACCCCACCATCTGGTCCTCTTCTCCATAGTGGGCCTTAGTCTCCCTTCGCTCTTTTTTCCTGTCAAACTGGGCCCCACCCTCCCCCCACTTCTGCTGAATAGTTTGTGCCTACTCCCAGGTGTAGGATAGTTTCCTTGCCCACCCAGGAAGGTATGTGAGCTTCTGCAGAAGGTGTTAACACTCACTGTGCTGACCTGTGTTGCTTTACACCAAACACCTACAGGCTGAGGAAGGTGGGGGTGTGGGTAGGTTTAACTATTTGTACAAATTGACTCTAATCCCTAAACACCCAGCAAAATGCTGTTCTGACCCCCAGGGCCTCATAAACTATTTAGTCCTGCTCTTAAGTGCAAATTAATATTCTTCCTCAGATTCTGATGTCCTTCGCTGGAAGGATAGGAGTGATTAATTGGCAGTTACTTTATGAATTCTGTCAGTGCCTTAAGATGGATCACTCTGCTGAAACGAGGATGTAGGTTCTCACTGCTAAATCTGGAAGTAAATTGATTTTTACAGTCCAAAACTGAAGTTATGGTGGAAAAGGAAAAGGAACAAGAAAGCAGGGACCTAGGACTGGATAGAAGTTGATGGATATTAAGACATGCTGGCCGGGTGTGGTGGTACACGCCTGTAATCCCAGCGCTTGGGAGGCTGAGGCAGGAGGATCGCTGTGAGTTCAAGATTAGCCTGGAATACATAGTTCCAGGTCAGTCTCAACTACATAGTGAGACCCTGTCTCAAAAAAAAAAGACATGCTGAAAAGGCCCTTGCAGAACAGCTAGTCCCAACTATTCATTTTACAGGTGAGGAAAGATGGGCATGGTGGTGGCGCATGTCTTTAAATCCCAGCACTCGGGAGGCTGAGGCAGGAGGATCACTGTTGAGTTCAAGACCAGCCTGGGCTATGCAGTGAGTTCCAGTTCAGTCTCAACTACATAGTGAGACTGTGTCTCAAAAAACCAAAAAAAACATTTTATAGGTGACGAAAGTAAGATACAGAATTCTAAATTTCCACATTTTATGTAGCCAGAACATGAGCTATGAATTCACCTCCTAACTCCAGCGCTTTTTTGCTTTCTTTTCTTACTCCTTTCCATTTTCCTTCCTCTCCCACCTACCCCCAGAGTTCCTGGGTTCTAGGGTTTTGCATTTCACTATGAATGTATGCCAAACGTCTAGAATATTTCACTGAATGGAGGGTACTGTAATCATCACTTTATCTTCCTGTGACTTGCTGAAGTCCTGATAAATATTCTAGGATATTCCTATCTTCACAGACAAGCTAAACCTCTACTTAAAAAGTGTTTGTAATTCATCAGCTTTTACTGTAGTGATATTTAAAAATTGACTTTAATTTAGAGACAACCAGTATAAACCTAGGGAGCCTAAATAATTATTTGCACTAGGAACAACAATAAAAATGGTAGGGGTAAGGGGTAAGGGCAGTGGTTCCGCCGCCTGCCTCACAAGTGCAAGGACCCGAATTCGATCCCTGGTACAAAAAGAAAAAAATGGCAGGTGTAGTGGTCCACATGCCTGTAATCCCTGTACTCAGGAGGCTGAGGCAGGAGGATTGCTATGAGTTTGAGGCCAGCCTGGGTTCAAGCTGAGTGAGTTCAAGCCCAGCCTGAACTATGTAGTGAGACCCTGTCTCCAAAACCAAAACCAGACCATGATATTGAGACCATGCTAAGAGAAACTAGTGTCCACCTGTATAGCTGGTGATACATTGCTGCCTTCTAACATGAAGGTATGTTTGCTTTGAAGGTATGTTTTGGAGACATTTTTCGTTTGTATTTAAAGATCATTTAAGTGGAAGATCATTGGCTTTTATAGTGCCATTTCCAGACCCCACAGCTTTTTTTTTCTGGTACTGGGGTTCAAACTCAGGACCTCGCACCCCAAAGCTGTTTTAGCATTGGAAATCTGACTGTCCTCAGTGGAATTGCTCTTCTTCATTTCAGTCTCAATTTATTTCACAGTTTCTTTATAACTCTAGTAGGTCTCCCTTTGTTTCAGGAATGCAGGTGCACAGTAGAAGTCATAGGTGGATTAAATATTTTTTCTTCATAAATAACAGGTTTAAATTGTAACTTTAAAAGTGATCAGTAGTGGGCTGGGGATTTAGCTCACTGGTTCTGCTGCCTCCTTTGCAAGCATAAAGTCCTGAGTTCAATCCCTGTTACAAAAACAAACAAACAAAAAAACACTCAAAAAAACAAAGTGCCGGGTGTGGTAGTGCACGCCTGTAATCCCAGCACTCAGGAGGATGAGGCAAGAGAATTGCTGCAAGTTTTGAAGCCAGCATGGGCTACACAGTGAGTTCAAGGTCAGCCTGAAGTGATAGCGAGAACCAGTCTCAAAAAAAACAGCAAAACAGAAATGATTAGTAGAAAGAAAAATGCTAGTTTTCATTACTCTTTGTTTATATTATGCATATGGTATAAAATCATCTGAACGCAGTTTAAGATTAAAGAGACCTAAGAAATACCTCCTAGTCCAGTTCTTAATGTTGTGGATATGGAATCTGACGCTGAAAACAGAAGGATTTGCTCAGAGTTCCCAGGTAGGTGATGAGAACCATGCCCAGCCCTCGCTGCCAGTCCACTGCATCATCATGAATTTAAGAAGCAAGAACAAGAATATTATTCAAACTGGCTTTTTTAAAAATCAAAAGTACCTTTGCCGCCTCCATAAAAAAATAAACAAACAAAACAATGGAAAATATCAGGACTATTTTTCCCCAAGAATTTAAACTTTCATAAGCCTTACCACAGTCATTTCAGTAAGCAGAAGTTCTTTGTTTCTTCAGTTCAGTTAATACACATATTAGTAGACATTTATTAAGCACTGATTCTAAGTTTAACACTGTGCTAGCAATATATAGGTGCTTCTTGCCTTCCAGAAAATCACCTTGCGGTTGTACTTAAGCCACACAGAAAGCCCTTTAGAAAGGTAAAAATAACATCTTCCATGTTTTATTCATAGAATGATTGCTGAGGCAGATAGAGAATTCTAGTTTCCTTCTCTACCTCATCTTCCTGCCATCTAGCAGCAATTTGGCTAACAGCTGTTCTCCAGGTATATATGGGACATACTCAGCCTTGCTGAAGTGCGTGCTCTGCTTCCTGTGCTGCTTGCCCAGTACTAGTGTGATTCATGTCTACACCTGTGCTTCCTCTTCCCTTTGCTAGGTATAGCCGGGACTATGTGGTGGAAGGGGAGCCATATGCCGGTTATGATAGACACAATGCAGAGGTGGCAGCCTTTCACTTGGACAGGTAAGTTAGTATAACCCTAATACTCTGTGTCCACTTGGTTTCCTTTTAAAATCAATTTCAGTCTCTCTCTCCCTATCTGTCTCTGTCTCTTTCACAGTACTGGGATTGATACCAGGGACTTGCACATGGCAAAGAAGCACTCTACTGCTGAACTACATCCCAGTCCTTTTAAAAAATGTGTTTTGATATAGTCTTGCTAAGTTGCCCAGTCTGGTAATCCTCCTGTCTCAGCTTCCTTAGTGACTAGGATTGTAGGCATGTACCATGATGCCAGGCAAAAATCTCTCAAAGAAGACAGAGGGCACACTAATAACTTGGACTTGTTACCTATTTTGGATAGCTGATTGACTGGTTCCATTACATTTACATGAGTCCCTTGTAATTTGGGTGACGCTAGGAATAACAAAGTAAATAGTTTAACTTCAGACTTTTACCTTATTTCATTTCATTGCTGGCATGTTTTTATCATCCTGATTGAAGATTTTTTTGCTAAATAAAATGGCACGATGAAAAGCCAAGTTTGAACTCATATCCCTGAATTGAATTGATCATTAATTGGGAAATAGCAGTCCTGTTTGTTTTGTTGTAATACTGACTTATCTCCATATACTGGAAACATCTAGCCTGAAATATGTAGTGAGTTGTTTTGGGTTTTTTGGGGGGAGGAATGGAGTGGTACTGGGGATCAAACTCAGGTCCTTGCACCTGCAAGGCAGGCGGCGGCACCACTAAGCTAAATCCCCAGCCCTGTAATGGGTTTTGTTATTCTTTTTTTTTGGTACCAGGGATTGAACTCGGGTCCTTGCGCTTGCAAGGCAGGCCACCGAACCACTGAGCTAAATCCCCGGCTGTTATTCTTTATATAAAATTTTCACAGGTTCCAAAACCAGAATAATTTTGTGTATTGGTCAGCTTTCCTATTGCTGGGACAAATGCCTGGCATACACACTTTAAAGGAAAGTTTATTTGGCTTACAGTTTCAGAGGTTTCAGTCCATGGTCGGCTATTCTGTTGCTGTGGGTTTGAGGGGAGGCAGACGTGGTGGAAGGATGTGGTGGAGCAAAGTTCTCACTTCATGGCAGCTGAGAAGCAGCAGGTTGGAAAGATCCCAGAGAGGATAGGGCTAGAAACCAGATGCAGTAGTCTCCAAGGTCATGCCCTCATGACCAACCCAGACACCCAGAAGTATGCCTTATTAACTTTGTAAACATCCCTTAATCCAGTCAATAATGATGATGATAATAATGATTAATAATCACATTCCAAAAGAAAAGTAGATATGAATTTAATTTATAAGATAACTAGAAAAAGTTTTTGAGACAGGGTCTCACCGTGTAGTTCAGACTGGCCTTGAACCCACTTCGTAGCCCAGTCTGGTCTCAAACTCATGTCATCCTCCTGCCTCAGCTTCCTGAGTGCTGGGATTATAGATGTTTGCCATCACACTCAACATGAAAAATTAATATGTTTTATTAGCAGATTGTTAGTCAGGAACCTCTTAACTGAATTGTCTGATATTCCAGTTACTCTTCCCACCAATTCTTTGAGTCTGGCATATTGACAGACTTTAAAAGAAATTATTTATAATATTTGCTTTTAAAAATGGATCTGTTCTTGGGAGGTTGAGGCAGGAGGATTGCTGGAAGTTTGAGGCCTGCCAGAGGCTACATAGTGAGTTCAAGGTCAACCTGAACTACATAGTGAGACCCTGTCTCAAAAAAAAAAAATTCTGTAAGGATGCCAGAGGAAGGAAGATGAATTTTTCTTTTTCTGGATTAGAAAGGATTTTCCACGTGTTGATACAATCTGCATGCAATAAAACTCTTATAGAAAGTGGGTCAAGAACACATGCAGTTAGCTGAGTAGGAATTACCTGTTGCTAGTAAATATGGGAGCAAGTTTATCCTTAGTAGAAAATGCTTAAAATATGTTACTATTTTCACCTGCCAAAAATAGCAAAGATTTTTTTAAAAAGAGGTTAATACTTTATTGGATTGGCACTCGAGATTCATATTCTGCTTTTGGTGTTAATTTCAATCTTTCTGTTAAGAACTCTGGCATTTTGTATCAAAAATCTTAAGGTTGATTTTGTTTGAATGAATGACTATCTTTTTTATGTACATATTTAAGATATTTCTAGGAAGCTGTTTCCAGGAAATAACCCTAGGAAGTAAATTTAAAAATATGTATACTGTAAATAAGATCCAAATTGTATAACTGATAATGTGAAATAGGAAGAAAAGGGCTAAATGAGTAGGGGAAGTGGGAAGGGTAGGAGAAAGAAAATAAGGGAAAAGAAAAATATAAGAAAAGCAAAAAATGGAAACAAAGTCTTTGTAAATTGGGGATCATTGAGGGGGTGAACGGAGGGCAGGGGTATGGGGAAAAAATGAGAACCAAGATCTGTCATGTAAAGGTACAAGATCCCAATGATGAATGTAACTGTACTTAAAAGTACCGTGTACTTAAAAAGTACCAATAAACTCAAGAAAAAGAAAAAGAATAAAAAATACATATACTGCTTTCTTTACTGTAGTAGGGTAATGAAAAAACTGATAGTAACTTAAATATTTACACATATAGAAAAATTTAAATAAATGTTTATAGTATCATTAGGGCTGGGGATTTAGCTCAGTGGTTCTGCTGCCTGCCTCGCAATTACAAGATCCTGAGTTCGATCCCCAGTACCAAAAACAAAACAAAACAAAAAAACCCAAACAAAAACAATATAGTATCATAAGTTTTAGCCTCCTCTTTTAAAATCTAGGGGCACAAAGTTGGATACATCCTGCTCTTCACTTAAGCACGGTAGAATCAGGCTGTCCAAGGCATTATTTATTATTTGCCTGTTTTCTTTACTCTCTAGCCTCTTCTTGTTTTCCATTTGTTGGATATCAGCAATTCGTAAGGACCATCCTTTCCCCATTTCTGGACCAGTATTTTATATTATCTGATATAGTAATTTTTGTTAATTTAATGTAAGATAAACAGTATCTCATTTTTATTTCCCAGTAACTGATAGTTTATCTTGTCATAGCATCTTTAACTGTTGAATAAAGTATTCCTTGTTTTAAAAAAAATGGTTACTTTTGGGCCTTATTCTTTAGGTGCCTTACATTTTACAAAGTTTTCCCATACTAAGCCAGATACTTCCTGGCCAACCCTCTACTTTTTTTGTCACCTGTTAACCGCCACCTAGCCAATTTCAAGTACCACTGTGATACTGCTCTTCACCATTAAATTGGCTTCTGTTTTTTGTCCTGCACTGCTCAGTGGGGAGAAAGAATATTTCCCACACAACTGCTGTGCCCTGCCCCCACAGATCTGACACTTCTGCCTTGGGTTTACTCTTTCTTCACTACACACAGATTTGCCACTTTCTCTTGCCTCAGGGGTTTCTCTTAATTTTTACATTGTTTTGACAAATCTGTTTGATAAATCTTGCTTTTGTGGCTTTTCTAAGATTAGATTTAGGATAGAATCAGCAGCCCTAAACAGTGATTATTTATAATGTAGCAATTTTTTTAAAGTTTCTAAGAATATGGGGAAAGGTGCATGAATACAATGATAAGTAAACAGCAAGATACAACGCTGCATACAATGTAAGCTCAACTATATGTATATGTGTGTGTGTGTATATATGTATGTTTATGTGTACATGTAAAGAAAAAAGTCTAATCTATCAAAATGTCAGTAGTTATTTATGTGTTGTAGAATTACGGATGATCTTTGTTTTCTTCATTATCAGTTTTCTGTATGTTCCAAATTCTACTCATCTAACTCTTCTTCATAAATTGTGTATATTTCAGCCAGGAAATGTCTCTTATAGAAGAAAGTCTGTTTTTAGTCATAAGGCAGTGTATTCAGATGATCAGAGAGAGGGATCTTCAAATAAGTCTCTAAGTTATCTTGTGGATTTATCCTTTTAGGTCAATTTGTATATTGTTCATCTGCAAAGCTTTGAACCCATTATGAGTTCAAGCCTAATTTTTTTTCTAATGCTTTATTAAAGTTTATTTTTAAAAAACCCATGTACTCCATAGATTTAACAGTTGTTCACATTTTGCCTGATTTGCCTGATCCTTTTTGCTAAAATGGAAAATAAATACATCTTGACATTAAACTCCTAAATATATGTTATCTCTAAAAAAGGCTTACCTACCAACTTGTAGTACCTTTACATAGCTAACATTACTAACCATAATTTTTGAGACTGTTATTTAAAAGATACATTCTCAAAAGGTTTGTCTTCTTCAATCTTCTAAACCAGGATTCTGGGTTTCCGCCGAGCTCCTTTGGTGGTGGGCAGATTTGTTAATCTACGGACAGAAATCAAGCCTGTTGCCACGGAGCAGCTGTTGAGTACCTTCCTAACCATAGGTAAGAATACCATAGAGGACATTTAGATAGAATAGTTAGGTTAAATGAGGCACAACTGAGCAAGCTGGTTTCTCTTTTAGGACTTAAAGAACTAGAGGGAATTCAAAAGCACATAGGTATATTGGTTTCTGATGAGTGGGGGAAATGGATTCACTGGTAGATAGCAGGAAATTGAAAGTTTTCTCAAAATGTATACACTGTTGTGTCTCTGACGTAGGAAATGAGGTCACTTACTAGCAGAAAGGAGATTACTTTATTTCTTCCATTTGATCTTACAGCTAGTCTCAAATTGAGAATTTGGCCTAAATCAGTTATTGTCCACATATCACTGTCTCTGGTTTTTTGTTTTTTGTTTTTTTTTTTGGTATTGGGGATTGAACTTGGGTCCTTGTGCTTGCAAGGCAGGCACTGGAACCACTGAGCTAAATCCCTAGCCCAGTTATTTTTTCATGTACATGTGTTTTCTTGGGATCTGCATCCTGTAACCTGAGAATTGAGGGAATCTTTAGGCAACTTTGTAAGAGGATGGCCTCTTATAGTGTTGCATTTGGGCCTGGAAGATCACTGCCTTATTCTACTCTGCAAGGGTTAGCTTATAACTCATGTGCATGGAGCTGGCTATGGTGTATCTACCCTCGTCTTTCTGTTATTTAACTTTGAGGTAAAGGATCTCGCTAAAATTCCTATTCATTCCTCTCCACCCTAACCCCTCCCCTGGTAACTGTTGGTCTTTTTACTGTCTCCATATTTTGCCCTTTTCCAAGTGTCCTCCATAATTTACAGTATTTCACTCTTGTTTTTATGGCCAGATTCTATTCTATTATGATTTATACCACATTTCTTTATCATCTGTTTTTGAACACCTGGGTCAATTCCTTATTGTGGCCATTGTGAGTAGTGCTGAAATAAACATGAGACCGGAAAACTGTCTTTGACATTCTGATTTCCTTTCCTTTGTAGCGGGATTGCTGGATCATATGGTAGTTTTAGGTATAGTTTTTAGTTTTTTTTGTTTTTTTCCTACTGTGTAGTTCAGGCTGGCCTTGAACTCACTGTGTAGCCCAGGTTGGACTCAAACTTGTGGTGATCACCTGTCTCAGTCTCCTGGATTACAGCTGTTCGCCTCTGTCCAGCGTGTACAGTGTTTTGTTTTTGTTTTTTTATCCCATTTCCTCCTTCCCCTCCCTATGTATAAAACCTTTGTTTCCATTTTTTCCTTCTGTTTTCACCTTTTTTTCTTGTCTCTTCCTTCCTTTCTCCCTCTCTCCTCTCTGTTCCCTGCCCATTTGAACATTTTCTTCCCATTTCCCAGTATCTATTATACATTTCAGTCCTTGTTTCCACTTTCATTTTCTCACAGTAGAGAAATAATGTGGTATTTAAATATGTGTACACAATTTATTTCACTTAAGAGTATGATCTCGGGCTGGGGATTTAGCTCAGTGGCACCACACCTGCCTCGCAATCACAAAGTCTTTTTTTTTTGGTACCGGGGATTGAACTCGCGTCCTTGCGCTTGCAAGGCAGGCCACCAAACTGCTGAGCTAAATCCCCGGCCCCACAATCACAAAGTCTTGAGTTTGATCCCCAGTACCAAAAAAAGAAAGAAAGTATGGTCTTAAGTTCCATCCATTTACCTATAAATGTCTAAAGTTCATCCTTTGTAGTAGAGTAGTACTCCATTGTATATTTAAAAAAAAATACACACTCACATCTTATCCATTCATTGGTCTATAGACATTTGGACTGTTTCCAAGATTTAGCTATTACACACTACTGATAAAAACATGGGTGCACATATATTGCTGTGATAGGATGCTTTTTTAGGGAAGATACCAAGAAGGGGAATCGCTAGGTCAAATGGAACCTCAAGTTTTAGTTTATTGAGAAATCTTCACACAAATTTCCAATGTGGTTGCACCAGTCTACACTACCACCAACAATGGAGAAGGGTTCCTTTTTCCTCACAGCCCCTCCAGCATTTATTATTGGTTGATTTCTTGATAGCAGCCATTTTTTCTGGAGTGAGGTGGAATCTCAGTGTTGTTTTGTAATTCTCATTTCACGAATGACCAGTGATGTTGAACATTTTTCCATATATTTATTTGCCATTTGTACTTTTTTATCTGAGAAATGTCTTTTCATTTCGGATGCCCATTTTTGGATTGGGTCTTTAAATTTATGGGATCTGATTTTTTTGAGTTTTTGTTTTTTGTTTTTTTTTTTTTTTAGAAAGGATCTCACTGTGTAGTTGAGATTGACTTGGAACTCACTATATAACCCAGGCTGGTCTCAAACTCAGAGCGATCTTCCTGCCTCAGCCTCTCGAGTGCTAGAATTACATGCATGAGCCACCATGCCCGGCCTTTTTTGAGTTCTTTATATATTCTAGATAATAGTCCTTTATCTGAGACTAGGTAGTAAATATTTTTTACCACTCTGTGGGTTCTCTTCACTCTTGGAGGTTTCTTGCTGTGCAAAAGCTTTTTAATAAGATGAGGTTCCAGTTGTGATTCTTTGTAATATTTCCCGTGTTGTCTGAGTTTTGTTCATGAAGTCTTCGCCTACTCCTATGTCCTCAAGTGTTCTACCTGTTCTCTCTTCCAGTGTTTCTGTTTTAATACTTAGATCCTTGATCCATTTTGATTTTAGTTTAGTGTGTGGTAAAAGATATGGATCTAGTCTTAATCTTCAGCATGTGGAAAGCCAGTTTTTCCAGCACCGTTTATTAAAAAGGCTGTCTTTCTTCAGTATTATAGATACTTGACTCCTTTGTCAAAGATTAGATGACTGAGTATGTCTGGATTTCTGGATTTATTTCTGTATCTTCTAGTCTGTTCCATTGATCCCAGGTCTGTTATTGCTGGTACCATACTGTTTTCATCACAGTAGCTTTGTAGTATAATTTAAAGTCAGGGATTGTCATGCCCCGTGCCTTGCCTTTGTTGCTCAGAATATGCTTTACCATTCTAGGTCTCTTCTGGTTCCAAATGAATTTTAGGATTGTTTTTCTAATTTTGTAAGATATCCACCTTATATAGTTGTGTTTTGTTTTGGTACCAGGGATTGAATTTAGGCTGCTGTGCTTGCAAGTCAGACGCGATGCTGCTGAGCTAAATCCCTGGCCCTGTATAGTTTTTTGAGGAATCTCCATACTGTTTTCCAGTTCTAATACTGGGCTAATTAACATTTCCACCAACAGTGAATAAGAATTCCCCCTTTCTCCACATCTTTGCCAGCACATTTTTTTGTTTTTGTTTTTGCCTTTTTATGACAAATACTCTTAACTAGGGGGCTAGGGATTTAGCTCAGTGGTTCTGCCACCTGCTCACAAGCACAAACACCCAAGTTTGATCTCAGTACCAAAAAAAAATGCTCAACTGGGGTAAGACGGTATCCCATTGTGTTTGTTTTGTTTTTGAGACATAGTCTTGCTGTATAGTTCAGGCTGGTCTTGAATTTATTATGTAGTCCAGGCTGGCCTCAAATTCCCAGCAGTCCTCCTGCCACAGCCTCCCGAGTGCTGGTATTATAGGTGTACTCCACTACAGCCTGGCTCTCCTGTTTTGATTCTCATTTTTCTGAGGATTAGTGCTGTTGAGAATTTTCCATATATTCTTATTGTTTTGCCTACTTTTTAAATCTGGTTAGTTATTTTCATATTGTTGAGTTTTAAAAATTCTTTCTAGGGCTGGGAGTATAGTTTAGGAGTCAAACATACTTGCCTAACATATGGAAGACCTTGGGTTCTATCCAACCCCCAAAATAGTCCTTTATCAGATGTGTGTTTCACAGATATTTTTCGCTAATCTATGGCTTGTCTTTTAATTCTTTTGACACATTTTTTTTCCCTAGGACTGGGGATTGAACTCAGGACCTTGCACTTGTGAGGCAGGTGTGGTGCTACTGAGCTAAATCCCAAGCCCCTTGACAAAATTTTTTACATGTTATGAGATAAATTGGTATAATAATGACCTATACGGGAAAGGAAAATATAGTAAAATATAGTAATTTCAGGGTCTTTGTTTTGTCAGTGCCTGTTTACTCAGCTGGTCCCTTCTAGATTGTTTGAAAGAGAATTTGAAGTCTTCATTTTTTTCCTTAAGTGTATTTGGCTCCTTTCTGTCCTTCAGGAAACAATACTTGTTTCTATGGGAAGTGCTATTACTGCCGAGAAACAGAGCCAGCGTGTGCCGATGGAGACACGATGGAGGGATCTGTCACTCTTTGGCTTCCAGATGTATGGCCTCTGCAGAAACACCGACACCCCTGGGGCAGGACTTACCGGGAAGGCAAATTGGCCAGGTAAATGCTCCTGTGAGCCATGACATAATTCTCCCTGTGCCTGGCCAGGTGCCTGTCCTTTAGCTGTGCTATTCAAGAATTTAAAAAAAAAACTTTCAGGTCTGGGGATTAGCTCAGTAGTTCCGCTGCCTGCTTCGCAAGCACAAGGACCCGATTTTGATCCCCTAGTACCAAAAAAAAAAAAAAAACACTCTTGCAGGATCAGGGCAAATCTGCTAAATGAGATCTGTCCTCTTTTTGTTTTTAGCACTGCCACTGTGTTAGTCAGCTTTCCATCACTGTGACAAACACCTGGGCTAAATCAACTTAAAAAGAGGAAAGACTTATTTTGACTCACAGTTTCAGTTCATGGTTGCTTGGCTATGAACTCCGGGCCTGTAGTAGCACAGTACATCCTGGCAGAAGCGCATGTTGGAGGAGGCTGCCAGGAAGCAAAAAGACGATGAGGCCAGGATCCCTTATCTCTTCAAGGACAAAACCTTAGTGATATAACTTCCTTCTACTAGGCCTCACCTTCTAAAGGTCCCACCATCTCCCAGTAGCACTACATGTTGGCAACCAAAATTTCCATACATGGTCTTTAGGGAAGATACTTAAGATCCAAACCATAACATGATGCCTTTGGTTTCAAAGGTTTATATCCATCCAATTATACAAAAGGCATTCAGTCCATTCCCACAGTCCTCCAAGTCTTTCTTCTAGCATTGCTGAAAAGTCCAAGTTCAAAGTTTCTGAGACTCACAGCAGATTTTTACCTGTTAGCCCTCAAAATAATAAAAAAACAAAGTGGGGTGTGGTGGCACATGTCTGTAATCCCAGCACTCAGAAGGCCAAGGCAGGAGAATTACTGCAAATTTGAGGCCAGCCTGAACTGCATAGCTAGCAAGACTTCATCTCAAAATAAATAAATAAATAAATAAACTCAAAGTTTCTGAGACTCACAGCAGATTTTTACCTGTTAGCCCTCAAAATAATAAAAAAACAAAGTGGGGTGTGGTGGCACATGTCTGTAATCCCAGCACTCAGAAGGCCAAGGCAGGAGAATTACTGCAAATTTGAGGCCAGCCTGAACTGCATAGCTAGCAAGACTTCATCTCAAAATAAATAAATAAATAAATAAACACATAAAAA